TACCACTACTGTGCATGTGTGTCAAGGACAGAAAGGCAGATGTGGGGAAGGTGTCAAAGCAGTTTGGAGAGAAAAACAAAGTAAAGAAAACAAACAAAAAAGAAAACGACTAATCGATTATTAAATTAGTCATCGACTATTTTAATAATCGATTAGTCGTCGATTAATTGTGGCAGCCCTATTTGGGACTGAACCAGCTGATATTAATTTGCACTGACAAGGGGCAGGCTTGCTTTCTAATTACTGAGAGAGTTCAGCTGGTGTCTTGCCTCTCCATGCCTTTTTACACCTCCCTTTCTTCATGTGTTCAATACTTTTTCCCTGTGCCATTCCACATTATTACAAATAACTTCATTTCTGTTCATTTATGGTTTGATTTCTTTGTATGTATGGATCACTTGGGTTGTTACCAACATCTGGTGAAAATTTCATATCATTAACACCTCTAGTAATATATTTACTGAGAAAAATGGTGACGTGTTCAATGCTTATTTTACCCGCTGTATGTCTGTAAAGGCTGGACTGGCACTGATGGTCCTTCTGCAAAGATCTCCCACTTCCAAAAATAAACTCTGGATTTCATTCACAGAAACTACAAGCTTATCAGTTAGCTGCCTGGTCAAGGCCATTCATGACAAAGGCTACTTTTTCAATGTAACTGGAGTGTGTCTGAATGGTCTACTAACAAACACCTAGACCTAACGGTTTCCCATTGTTGTAGGTCAGCTATAACGCTTCAAGGTGTAAGAATCAGTGCAAAGGTTATAAACAATTATTACCTATGACTTAGCTCCTTGAACTTTTAGCTTTAGGGCAGTGGCTGTGTCCAAACTCAGGGGTTGCRTTATTTGAAGGCCAAGTGATTTGCCAAATGCTGTCTAAATCTGAAGGCTCCTCCAATTACGGCCCCCAAATGTGTCCTCCTTTTTCCCCCAGTTTGAGGAACAGGTCTGGTGTCCTAATATGTTGTGTGAGGGCAAGTTATCCCAGCCAAACAGCACAAACAAAGGCTACAATGGTTTTCATCTAGTATGCACCCATGGCAGGCACACGTCAAGGCGAATGTCTGATGAGGTCTCCCACCCTATCACAAGATGCATTGAGGGCCAACCAGAGAGATGTTTTTGCTTGTAATGGTTATCAAAGCGAGAGACAGAAGTACAGTTTAAAAAAAAATCTAGCGTTATGAATATTAAAATTGTAAAACTGTTGTGTTGTTAGGCTTTTGTCATTTGCAGACATGTTTATATTATATAATATTCTTGCCAGAAATCATCGTAAACGAGCTTAGTTCCCTTAGTTCTTCATGCATGGCCTCTAAGCTAATTTTGGTCATTTATAAACATTAATACTATTTAAATAATATTTAGCTAATCTCAGCCTATTTACATCTTCGTTGATTCTGTTTAGCACCGTCACAGTTGCTAGGTGACAGGACGTACGCCAAACTAAGGCAGGGAATAAAGCTGAAGGATAGACCGTACAAATTCACAGTCACTTTCTTCCAGTTTTCGCGGTCCACAAGAACCTGGCCCATGTAAACGTTGGTACGTTGTGTCCTTCAAAGGGCAAAGCCCTGGGATTTGGACACAATCAACGTCCAGCTTTGGGCGTTTTCTATCAGAGGACGATAAATGTTGGTCCTGTTCAGACTAGCTGAGCTCATCAACAGAACTGAAGCTGTTCAAAGACTTATCTACCACAATATAAATTGTTTATAACCCTTCCACAGAATCCCACTTCAAAAGAGCCAAACTACCCTTTTAATAAGAGTATTTGTCTTTGCTCTTATGTCCAAGAAACTCTAGGAACATGAGAGGATTCAAAAACTTTCTGTAAGCCTTTTCTTTTTCTCTCTCTGTTATTGAACAATAAAAAGAAAGAGAAAAAAAACCYTAGCTGATTTTGCGGAGTTTAAAAAGCATTTGTTCAAAGTTCCCTCTGTTCATTTATCTCGATCAGATCCAGAGTCCGTGATGTAGGTATATCTGTCGTGTTAGGACAAGTTATCCCAGCCAAAACAGCACAAACAAAGTGGCTACAATGGTTTTCGGCTCGTGTGTCCCCATGGGAAGGCACGCATCAAGGCGAATGTCTGATGAGGATGAACTGTTGATGAATAAATGAACTACTTCCTCCTGCTTCAATGCCAGTTTAACACTTTTGCCCTTGCTGGTAATTAATTCCCAGGGTTCCACATSAAGCGCTGCGACTGCCAAGATGTTTAGGCGCCTTTTTTTTTTTTTTAATCTTTTAGCAAAAGGCTCCAGAAAGTCAAATCTTTTTGCAAAACAACTGCTCTTGTTGAATCTCACCTTGAGGGAAGAAGAGTGGTGTCATGAGCAACCAGTGGGGGGAAAAAAGTGCTGACATCATACAAACACAAACAAGCTCACCCATTCAACTTTTTCTTTTTTAAGCTGCTCGTTCCATTGGGTTCGAATCAACAATGAGATCCTTGTGTTTGCCACCAGAGCAGCCCCGGTTTTCGCCACTAATTGAAAGACTAAATTACGTCTGAAGTGCTTCAACAAGCTGAATCTTCATGCAGCGACCGAATGCCTCAAGTGCTGTTATCGATTTACCAAAGCGAGCTTCAAGAATCGTCCGTTTCGCAGCCTCTCTTCTCCCTCCGACGTGCAGGATTGCCAACAAAAAATAYGTTATTCACACATTGATCTGTTGAAAGCATTGAGAGGAAGCCAGGAAGTGCATCAGTCTGCCCAAGACATGTGTTGTAGATCTGTAGGAGAGGGTTTAAATACACATCCAAAAAATAAAATAAAATAAAACAGCCAGAGGGGACATGAATGAAATGAAAGAGCTGCATAAACACACAGCAGGCAATCTGAATAATCAATGATAGGTTTATTTTAAGATGGAGATAGGATTCATGTTACTTCATTCTGAGATGATTTTTTTAAAAGCATCACCTCTCCTCACCTCTTACCTTCAGCAGAGTGCACCTCGTCCCACAGTAATGAGATGGTTAAAGCCTGAAGTGCTGTCAGAATCAACTTCAGACTCTCTGGGCTCATGATGCTGAAGCGTGGACGGCTTCCCTCTTCACTGCAGCATCACATCAGTCCAACTAACAGCTGATGAGCAAGAACCTCCCTCTTCCCTCCTTATTAAAAAAATAATAATAATAAATTTAATAAATAAATAAAGTGACTTCCTGAAATCTGATCAAGTGTCTGAAGCAGTCCTTTTCAGGATGTCCCAATGACAGCTGATTCAACTCTGCGCGCTTCTTCCCCCCATCTGGCTCCAGGATGTCCAGCTCCTCGAGGAGGAAACAAGAAAAGGGAAAAGTGTGACAAAAACAACAGACAGACAAACCGCTGCTGTCTCTCGTCCTCTGGAAGGACATTAATTCCAGTGGGGGRAAAAAAAATCTGACAAAAACTGTTGTCTTGTGAGTACAGACCATGTGCTTCTTCTCAGCGGCTCCGCGGGGTCCTAGAACCAGCTCAGCGCAGCAGCGGCGTCAAGCCTGATTAAATGAAGGCGCAACATCCGGTTATGGATTTCAGAATAAAAGTCCAAATGTCTGACCCTGCAGACAATTGTTTTTTTTAGTTACACATTATAATCAAAAAGAAAAACATTACATAGGTCTTCTGGACGGGTTCTTCTCTAATGAAACGTTTCGTCTCTCCTCCAAGAG